AGTGGATTATTTCGTTTGCAATAAGAATAGAATCCATAGTTGATTTCCCAGCTTGAAACGCAGATTGTGTTGGTGTAACCAGATCTGACATAAGAGGGGATAACCTATTTGCAAGAACTTTTGTGAAATTTTTAAAGATACGATTGATTAGGCAGATTGGCCTGTAAGATAAGCTGTCTCTAAGCTTGGGAATAAGCGTGACAAAGACTTTATTCACTATGTGTAGAGATGATGAGTCTTTTTGAAAATAATTCATAAGAGTAATAAGATCTAATTTGATCAGATCCCAGAAATACTGATAGAACATCATAGAGTAACCATCAGGGTCAGGAGCTTTATTTGGACTCATGCTAAAAACTGCATGTTTGATGTCAAATTCTGTGAATGGAGCTTCGAGCGGAGAAAGATTTAGGTGTTGTTGAGGACAGAGAGTAGACCAATACATAGATAGGTTGTTAGTATTTTTTTTCCAAAAAAGATTGCAGTAATAGTCATAGAAAGTCTGAGAGATTTCATGTTCATCCATTAGATCAGTACCTTGATGGTTAATGGACATAATGTGATTGATTTTCCTATGATAGGAAGCTGTTTTATGGAAAAAAGAAGTGTTTGAATCCCCCTCTTTAAGCCACTGAACTCTAGATCTTTGGTACTAATAAATTTCTTCTTCCTTTATGAGAGATGCAAAGGAAGATTTAAGCAATGTCCTATTGTTGAATTCCAATTGAGATAGAGGATGTTGTTCTTCAAGCAAATAAAAGGAGATTATTTGAGAAAATATCTCTGATTTTCTACTAGATAGAGAACCAAGCACATTCTTCTTCCACCATTTGGTACGTCATTTGAGAATTTTAAGTTTCAGAATGAAAATATCAACAAGAGAGCATGACAATTGAAAGAATTCCAAGATGTTGTAACGAAATGTATGAAGTTCTTATGTTGGAACCAACTTCTTTCAAATCTAAATATTGGAGGAGCAGGTTGAATTCCTCTACTATCAAGGATTAATCGACAATGATCTGAGCCTATTGATGGCAGATAATATTGTATACTTGAGGGAAATTTTCTATCCCATTCTGCACACACAAGGAATCTGTCTAATCTAGCCATAAAAGGAATAAGACGATTGTTTGACCATGTGTAGGATCTGCCAGTGAGTGGAAGGTCAATGAGGGATGTATTGTTGACAAAGTCTCTGAAGGAGTTGATATCTCTAAGAGATCCATTTCTACCACTTTGTTCATCAAAAGATAGAGTTGCATTAAAATCACCACAGATAATCCAAGGACCGGAGAAAATATCACGGATGCGATGAAGCTCACACCAGCAAACTTCTTTGTCATTCCTGTCTATAGGGGAATATACAGAGGTGAAGGTGAATTTCCAATCAGAAGGTATATGGTGAAGGAGCACTGAATCTGAGAAAACACCCACATATATATGAATCAATAAGGGAAAATGAGTTGGACCATCCAACAAGGATTCCACCTCGAGATTCAGTTGAGTCTAAGTGACACCATTGAGTAAGTTTCTTACCACCTATTGATCGAAGCTTTCTAGGAGAGGGGTTTGATAGCTTAGTCTCTTGAAGACCAACTATGTCAATAGCAGAATGGAAAAGAAAGTCACGGATAATGCACCTTATATCTGGGTCATTTAGACCTCTAACATTCCAAGTCGTGAGTTTCATGGAGATGGAATATGTTTAGCACCTTTAACATCTTGATCCAGAAATTACTAGGTCTGACATTTTCTCTCTGCTTCCTTCTTTTTCAGTTTGTCTATTATCTGATCAGATAAAGTAACACCACAATTTCTAGCAATATCTTCAAGAATTTCTTTGGGCAATGAGTTGATAGACATAGCAACAAAATAAGAATTTGAAGAATCCTGATTTGTACCTTTCTTTGAGAATTTGATAGCTCTTTTAGAAGAAGAAGATCCATGCTTTAGAAAGCTTCTATGCTTGTGGCTGAAGATGGTCTTCCTGACAGAGCGGGAGGTTGCTGATGAAGTAGCTTTGCGAGAGAATCCAGGAGGAACCGACGAAGATGATTGAAAAGCCGGAGTCTGGTTGGATTTTGACGGGTATGACGTGGCCGAAGAAAATGAATTTGAACTATCCATTTTATCGCCAATATAACTTTCCCAAATTGACTTCTCAATATAGATGGTCTTCGGTCTTCCAATGTTTTAATTCTTTTCAAAGATTCGTATTGATATGTGATATATACTGAGACAACCTTTGACGGGACGCAACAATCTCTATCGCATTCTATCAAATCTCAAAACCAAAAGTCCGAAGTCATTCCCCACCCGAAATTAACCGTGCCTTTCGGACTTAAGAGGCCCAAACATAAACATTCTACTTTGTAACAATACCTAGTCCACAACAAGGGTTTACTAGGCCTGCCATCAGCCCATTACGGCCCAACGTCCAGAACCTTCAGAAGGGAGACGCACCCTTCTCCTGCCGCCACGAACTCTCTACCGTGTCCTAGAACGCTCTCAGAATCCCACACGTGTCGGTCTCAATCCAGCTTTGTCCAGTTGCTATTTATGCACTGGCTTCGACCTTGTCCGTCCGAGCGAAGAACTTGAAGCGTGGGAAAAAAAATGCAGTCACCAG